AATGTATGATAGTAAGAGGAGTGGGGGGGAGAAGAGAATTGCAAAAAAAAAAATGGTGGAAGATTTGTTGGCTGGGATAGGATTAATTTAATTTCGCTTGCTAACTGTCAAACATGTTGTTATCCCCCCCCCCCCCCCCTTCAGATGAAGTCGAACCGTCTCAACCCCAAACTGGAGAGTCTGGAGTTCCCCCGCAACGACATCGTGTTCATCCGCGACATTGGCCAAGGCGCCTTTGGTCGGGTCTTCCAGGCTCGCATCGTCTGCAGCAACGGAAACTCTCACCTGACGGGCGGGAAGCTGTCGGGCAGCAAACACAGCCTTAGCTGCGGCAAGAACTGCAAACACAACCCTCGGCACGTCTTTTCCAGCAAAGGCGACCTGCGGCACGTCGACGTCTCGGCTGCCGTCCGGGGTTGCGACTCCCAGCTGCTGGCGGAGACCAAGTGCAAGTCATCTTCATGTGACAATGTCCTGGGCGAGGAGAGTAAGTGTGGCGAGGGAGGCCAGCTGATTGCGATAAAGATGCTGAAAGAAGATGCGTCAGAAACGGTGCAGTCGGATTTCGAGAGGGAGGCTTCGCTGATGGTGGAGTTTGACCACCCGAATATCGTCCGTCTTCTCGGCGTGTGTACTGTGGGAAAGCCCATGTGTCTCCTATTCGAGTACATGAGCAAAGGGGACTTGAATGAATTCCTAAGACTATGCAGCCCGGATCAGTGTCTGCTGCGGAGTGATGCGTGTTCAAACCCGTCGCTAGAAGAAGTGGGTAGCATCGATGCCGTAGACCAGCTCCACATGGCGCGCCAGGTGGCAGCAGGAATGGTTTACCTGGCTGACCGTGGCTACGTCCACCGAGATCTGGCCACACGTAACTGCCTGGTTGGCTCCGGGCTCACGGTGAAAATCTCAGACTTTGGCCTGGCGCGCAGCGTGCACAGCATGGACTACTACCACGGGAGCGACAAAGACGCTATCCCCATCCGGTGGATGCCCCCCGAGGCTATCCTCTACAACAAATTCTCCTCCCAGTCGGACGTCTGGTCGTTCGGCGTGTTGCTGTGGGAGGTGTTCACCTTCGCCGTACAGCCGTACTACGGCATGACCCACGAAGAAGTGGTCAATCACATACGTGCCGGCCACGTCCTGGCCCCGCCCAAAAACGGGCCGTCGGCCATCTACAATCTGATGAAGTCGTGCTGGCACCGAAAGCCCAACTCTCGGCCGAGCTTTGTGTCTTTACAAAAGTCGCTGAACATGATGTGGGAGGAGATGAGTAAACAAAGGACCAAGAATGTTGTCAATGTATAGCGCACAGTTTAATATATTTTCTTTTTTAAAAATCTTGTTGTTATTGTTATTTCGGTTACCATGCAACAGTTTTGAATAGCCATTGAAGTGTATATATACATAATTATATATATTTTTTTTTTCACATAGACCTTGAGTTTTATGCCCTAAATCCATGATGTCTCACCTCTTACTGCTGATGCCGATATAATGCGTGTTGTTGGCGTGTTGAATCTATGAATAAGCTCGTGGCTTGATAGAGTCCGTCTGCAGAAAAACAATAACAACAAGTCCTGTCTGCTGGTGAAGCCACAAAGTCTTGGCTGTTTCCCGTCGCCGATTGTCCGCAAGCAGAAACATGAAATATGCTGCTGGATCTTGAGCCATTCCAGGAAAACTGAACCTTCAGTGACACACGCAAGGCAAAGACGATGGCCTGCTGACAGAGATGCTAGGCTTCAATAGAGCCCGATTTTTTTTCTTTTCTTTTCTTTTTTTTCGACGGAGGTTGCTTGTTTACTTTGCTTACTTGACTTTTTTCATCCAGCGGTCATCTGGAGTTTTAGACCTTTGGTTAGAAGTTGCCTGCTGGCTGATCAGCATCTCTGTGTTTTGTGTATTGCTGCAGTTTCACTTTTCATGGAATGGCCTTCTGGTTCTAGTGTGGTGATAGGACAGGAATATTATTTAACCTTCAGGAGCAACAGTCCGGACGATAAAAGACGCTGATGCTCACCGCAAGGAAAAGTGCAAACCCTCGTGTGCTCAGACTTCAAGCACAGTCTGACTCATGAAAGACTTCATTTGTGTGTAATTGCCTTGCTGTAAATAAGATAAGAATGTTACATGATACACGGGAGGAGATGAGAAGTGACCTCTAAAAAGTATGAATGACTTCAATTATGTGTGGTTTACTGTAGATTCAAATTAATTGTAAAAAAAAAAAGACAACAAAACTGAAGACACAAATGATCAGTGTCGTGTGTATGTGTCTGAGTTGTCCTTGTGACTGAAAAGACACTTCTATGTCGTGCAGACTGAAAAAACTGAGTGTCTCGTCTTTAATTTGTATGTTTTTGAGTGTTTAAGTATTTTGAAAATATGTGTGCTATGTTTTGTTTTCATTTATTCTGGGACAAATACTTTATGATTAATGGATTGTTATTGTCTGTTATAATATAATAAGAGACTACTTTGATTTACATGAGTTAAAAAACTGTTTCTAAGATAAAGGAATAGAAGTTATTTATAACGTAGGCAGGATAAGATTGTAACGTTGGAGGGAACTGACAACGTGACAATGTGGCTGTTGTAAAAGAACTTTGTCAGAGGGGAGGGTGGTTAGCGGGTGCTCTGGTGTAGTTTGCTTCTTCTTTCCTATCAAACATCTATCATCCTTATCTCCCCTCCTTCTTTTTTGTGTCTGTTACTCTCTTGTAACACCTCTAATCTTCTGGCACTCATATGACCTTATGCAGTTGCGAGCACCGTAAATCCTCTACTAAAACAAAATTTCTATGAGTGGAGAAGGGGAGAGGTGAGGGAGAAGTGCTGCTGGTAGGCTCTACTCCTTTACTATTTCTGTGGTCTTTCTTCCTGTCTTTCTGTTTTATTTTTTTCCCCAGTGTTCAATAAAGGTTGTTACTTCATCATTATGCTTCTGCTTAAAGTCATGCACATCTATACTTATCAGACAAGAAAAAGGGCTCTTTCAACAATTATTGCTCACACTGTTCTTGCTTTTAAATCCCGAGAGTGTTTTTAGTTTATAGAATTTGTGTTGACTTTTCTCATTGTGACTGCGGTTTACCATTGAACAGAAAACATACAAATCAAATGGTATCTGTTTTTCTATGTACATCCAGTCAGTCAAATTCTGTCCCTCTCAGCTGTTGGTATTGCCTGTGATTTTTTCAAAATTCTCTTCATCGCCCAAACTGTTTTGTCTGTTTTGATTGTTTGTTTGTTTGTTTGTTTGCTTTTGTTTTTTGTTTTTTAATTTTACCAGGCTAGGATAGTAAATTTCAACAATACCTTTTATTATGATCTTCAGCAAACTCCACTGTATTTGAACTGTCCCAGTCGTTTTATGCAAGAAAAAATCTGAAATTATGCAAACTGAGCCCAAAAATGTGAAATTATAACGGTTCTGTTAATTTTAACAAAGAATGATAAAGGAAAATAAGCAGAAATTATGAAAAAAAAAAGATCAAATTTTGCTAAATTATGCGGGGTGCATAAAACCATGGGACAGTTCGAACAAAGCAGAGCTAGTTGTGATTTTTCTACAGAACTGTTGCTGTGTTTTGCTCAACTCTGTCACTACCAGGAGGTTTTCCTCACCTGAACTGGACCTTTTCTGTGACCTACTTTCAGATTCTGCCTACCCTCAGACAAATTAAACATTTTGAGGTCTATTTTCAATATTACTTATTAGCCACATGTATTATGTATGAAAATAAAGAGGAAATAATGGCCTATATCAACACGTTACTGAAAGTTATCATTCTTCTGCCATTCTTTTGATTATTACAAAAGATAGTTTATCATTAGATCTGATAGCTGTTGTTATTTTTTCAAGCAGAGCAGTACAAATTCGTCATATGTTTTAATAATAATAATAATAATAGATAGCATTTATATAGCGCTCTTTGCCATACTAGGTACTAGATATAAGCTCTGAGCACTTTACACAAATCACATAATCATTCACACAATAAAAAATATTTCACAGAAAGAAGAAAAATCAGTTCAACCACATAAAGAAGAACTTTCACAACCATACTTTAACTATACACGAAAGGACAGTGAAACATTTTTTTTTACTTGGCTTTCTAATGCATTGACAACTGCTGCCACTAGCATATTTCATAGTTCTGGTAACAGTAGACTACAAGCTGTAGGCTGTGCATAGGCATATCTTTTGTCTGGGTTTTGTTTTGGGCGGACCAATCTGTCCCCGTGTGTTTATGCAAACGAAATTCTGGAATTATGCAAACTGAGCCCAAAAATGTAATATTATGCGATTCATTTAACTTTAGCAAATTATGATAAAGGAAAATAAATTATGCAAAAAATGATCACATTTTTGCTAAATTATACGAGGTGCATAAAACCACGGGGACAGACCAATAGCTCAGTTAGTTTCTACTGGACTATGGTGGGGGTAACCTGGTTGGAAATCCCCTGCAGTGCCTTCTTTAACTTGGTCTGTTTGGATGGCTTTCATGACTCCCCCACCCTCTCAGCTTGGTCCTAGCAGAGATTCTACCACTTTACCGACTATATAGTATAGTGTTGATAGGATTGTAAAACTCTTACTCATACTATACTTACTATACTGTCTGCTTATTGTGTAATTTTGAAACTATAGACCTTGATTTGGTTTTGATATGCACTAGTTATCTGATCAGATTAAGCTACTCCTGGGGTTGATAGATACTTGCTCCTCAATTCATGTCAGTTGGCCAGCTCTGGCATGCTTGAATAAACTAATAATTTTTTTCATGACGTGGTGGAATCAGGCGCTTGTCAATTTTTGAGCGTGTGGAGTTATTGGTATCATCTTAAAGCTTGTTCATTTGACCATCTTGTGATGGAAAAGAATACAATAATCTTGAATAGAGGTTGAGATATTTGCGATTGAAGGAGGGTGGGGTCGCCTGGTTTTAGAGAAGTAAAATTGGTGAGAAAATGGCCAACAAACTTTGGTGATTTCCAAAGCTTGATGGTTCTTGGAAACTGAAAATCAAAATTTGTTGTGCCTTTAATCAATGATTTTCAGTAAATTCCACACAGAAATATATTTTTAGATGGACATAAAAGGTGCTGAGCAAAAATACAGAAATATTTTGTAAATTTTTAAACTGGAGGAAAAAATGCCGACATCTTCGATTTCATTATTTTGACGAGCGCCTGATTTCACCACGATGCCTCACATTTTTTTTTAACGAATTGAAAGAGTTCCTAATGTTCTCACTTGTTACTCTCACTACTCTCAGTGTAAATTCAATTATTCTGTTATGACCTCAATTTTTTATCTGTTTTGTATTCGCTATGTTAAGTCTTGGAAATTTCTGCTGAGGGTGATGATGGTGTGCAGAAATTTGAAAACAAAAAATTGCTATTACGAATTACCCAATAAAGCTTTTTTAGTTTCACTTTCAGGTTTTATGATGGGATACTTTGTTCTGAGCATTCCTAGAGTTTTGACTTCTTTGCAGAATTTCTTCATCAGCTGTCATGCTTCTCAACAGCTGTGCATTACCTGGAAAGGGGGGGGGGGGGGGGGGTTCTGCAGGGAAGCATGTCGTCAAACTCTATCAGAAATATTGCTTTGGTCATCTGCTCCATTGTACTTAGTCGAGGGTGATTACTGTAAATATAGCTCTCTGCAAGATGCTCTCTGCTGCTTTTTCTGAACATTGTAATAAGTATGAGTCTTAAATGATATAACATGAGAAGACACAGTCTTGTGTGTGGATGGTTGGCGGGTGCTCTGGTGTGGTTTGCTCCTTCTGTCCGATCAAACATCTATCGTCCTTGATCTCTCCTTCTTTTTTGTGTATGTTACTCTCTTGTAACACATCTATTCTTCGGCACTTATATGATCTTATTGTGTTGCAAGTGCCGTAAAACTCTTAGTAAATCTAACAAAAACAATCTTGTGTGACCATGGCACAGCACACAAGGATCACAGGTCTGATACAGAGTTGTCTCAGCATTGTACATTCAATCATCTATTTATTCATTTAAGGAAAATGCATTGTAATTATTTGTTCTTTTAATAACTCTAATATGTACCTCCATATTTTACTGTCTACTTCCGCACCACGAATGAATGTTTGATATGTAAGCAGTGTGGTGAAATCAGGCATTCGTCAAAATAATAAAATTGAAGAAACTGGCATTTTTCTGCCAGTTTCGCAATTTTTATCGAATTTTTATTTCTTGGCTTAACACCATTGTTGTCCAATTAATAACACATTTCTGGGTGAATTTGACTGAAAAATGTTAATTAAAGGCTAAAAAAATGTAAGCTTTCAGTTTTTACAGACTATCAAGCTATTGAAATAACCAAACTTTGGCAGCCATTTTCTCGCTATTTCTACCTTTGAAACCAGGTGATCCCATCTTCTTCAATCTCTAATATCTTGACTTCTGTTCAAGATAGATGGGTATTTTTTTCACTGATAGCAAGCAAGACAACTGAACAATTTTTGAGATGATACCAATAACTGCACAAGCCCAAAATTGACGAGCACCTCATTCCACTGCGTTGTGACACATTTAGCATGTCATTATACATGGCTTGTTTCTCACCTCATAATTTTGTATATTGGCTTGATATAGCCGTCGGTACATACTTATAAAATGCAAATTCTCATTACTCATATTCCGCATGCTCTGCAGAATGGTGGCTGGTTGACCAGACATCCCAAAAATTATGCCTTTTTGACCAACCCAATCCTTTCATATATGTGAAAATCTGGAAATCAATTCCATTTACTATTTGATTTTTAGGATCACAAATCGGATCAAACTTGGGACAATGGCCAGTCATTACAAATAATAATGGTTAGAATATATCATATATGCACATGGGAAACAGACTGGAGGGTAAATCCTACATACGTGTATATGTGAAGCGAGCTGACAAAATGAGTTACTTCTCGGATTCAAACCTGAAGGAAATAGATACATCACGCTTACAGGTCAAGTTTTTACAATTTATAAATATGAAATAATAAGAAGACAGGTTCCAGTTAAAGAATATGGCATTATAATATTATATAGAAAATCTACATATTTGACCCTAATTTCTTATATCGATTTTTGGCCAATATATGTAGTAATATATCCATTTGTGGCTTGCGAGAAGTAACTCATTTTGAAAGCACGCCTACTGCTTTTTGTTACACTTGTATTTATATATGTATGGACGTA